CAGGAGCACCAGTACCAGATACCCATCAATCCAAAGTGTCTCTACACCCCGACTGAACATGTACGATGGACACATGTTAAAAAGGTACCTCGGGTAAACTAAGTATAGGGCTAGCAAGAGGCTTATGGGCATGCTCAATAGTTCTGGTACAAAGGCTCCGAAAATGGTCTCTTTCGCACAAAACACTCCAGCCATTTATTTTTTTTCCGACAAGGACTCAAGAATTTCAGGATCTCGTGATCTTTTCCCGTCCTCAGCTCACCTTTTGCATGTTCCCTCCAGAATCCTCCAATGGAGACCTCGTTCGCTGCCGTGACGAACCTAGCCACCGTGATCTCCCTACTCTCGGCTACCTCCAATTGTTCCTCAGGAAACTCCCAGATCTGCTTCAAGAGAGGTGGGGCACTCTCGCTTGTCTTGTCAGTAGAATTCTCTAGTCTTGGTGTTAGAAACGGCCACCTGCCTCTCTCTTGTGTTAGTCATTACACCATCGACTCCAGTTGCTTTTCAGTCGCAGCCGCATTCTTCGTTTAGTTGCTTGGTTCCCTCGATTTGCTCGTGGATCTCGTGATGGTCCATGCCTCGGAACCATAAGCTGGCTGTCAGGTGACTTATTATTGGGTGGTCATCCCCTATTGTCGGACTGAACTTTAGTTGCCTGGCGAGATTCGAGATCTCAAGTAAGAGGACCTCATCCAGTACAATGAGTATGTCTGCCAGTTCATAGAATCGCCGCAATGCGTGGGACACGTCCGCCCACGCCGCTGCCAGTTCTGACTTCCGAAGTCTCAAGTTCGTGGATTCCAACTCTCGATTGGGAGCTGCCATCAGGATCCACCATGCGTTCCCTTCGGCTATTAGGATCAAAATAGCAAACACAAACTGCAGAGCAGGGGGCATGCTCGCGTATCCGGGGGACGTCGTGAATACAACTTTCGTCTTGGGTCCAAACCGCGAACTGACATTTTCCTCGTTCATCGCGGCAAACAACGTCTGTATAGCCTCCCAGATTTTCTTTGGCGTAGGCTCATCTCCTTTCAGCTGCTCTAGAAGCCCAGCCGCATGCAGGGGATCGTTCATTCCCGCGAACAGCAGTAGCTCTGGTTCGCAGGGCATCTCTGATTTTATCGCCACCACCAAGGTCAACATCTGGTTCAACTCTGCACCTGGCAGCGAGTATACCAGAGTTTCTGGCCAGAACAACTTGGGAGACGTTCCTTCAAAGTCCGATCCCGTCACGATAATCACTCTCGCGGCTGCTGGATCTGCTCTATCATATACTGCCATTGTTTTGGCTTAATGGGCACTGCCGCAGGGTTTCCCATATCTTGGGTCGTCTGCCAATTTCGCACCCTCGTAAGCGACGTCTGGTAGTTCCATCTCTTTTGGTTATAGTAGCTTGTCTACCACCCTCAACTGCGCAGAGTTGATAATCTGATATTGGCGATACTTGTTCTGTGCTTAGGGGGCTCCACTATGAGTCCCGGACTCCCCAGCAACTTGAGAGGTCTGTAATTTATCGGTCCCATGGCTGATCTCATGGGAATCCCGGTCAGATCAGCCATCTTCATCATTCTTGCTCTTGAGAAAAGCGTCTCGTGGGCCTTTAGCCAGTCTACGCACTGGTGCCGACTCAAATCCTCGTGTGACACGTGCTTGAGTACCAGGACTTCTGCCAACTCCTGTCTGCACTCCAGATCCTCCAGGTCCAACTCGTTCACTTTCTTCAGATACCGCGTTCGGCTTACCTCCGCTGGTTTCTCCACTCTCTTGTTATCTACCACTACCACTCACGACACCACTGAACTTTGGGGCGTTGATGACTCCGCTTCCTCGGCTCCATTGGCGTGGAACCCGGTAATCTAGTCCGGCTGCTCCTCGAGCTATCTCATGAGTCGACTCTCGTTCCCAGGCGACTGGACAGGGGTCTTGTGGTAAGGAAAGGGGGATTTGGGGTGGACCGAATGTGAATCGGGCCGTCTCAAGCAGGTCTGCCTCCAACTCATTTATGTGCCTCTGGAAGACGTCGTTCAACCATTCTACGCCCCTAGGCCTGTCGAAGTGGATTCCGTCTGAGGACGCATCCTCTGGGAAGGATCGCTCCATCTGGTCGGCTACGTCCAACAATCTGACGGGAAGGACACTCCTTCCAGGTATCTGCCTGATTATCCTCGTTCAGGTTTCGCACTTTCTCGTTCATTTCCATCGCGTGTTGGTCGGCCTTCATGTTGTAAGGGGTGGTGCAAACTGTGAGTATGGCGGGATCCATCTGAATCCGCAACTCCTCCAGGAGGCAGCTCATTTTATCATGTAGCCTCATGACTTTCCTCGATTCCCCTCTGGACACGCCATTGGTCCCCATCATCAGAGTCACTGTGTACATTTTTGCCAGCCCTAACATCTCGAGTGATGCCAACATCTGCGGCGTTGCGGCTCCAGAGAAACTAAAGACCCCAGTCTGCCAGTGCGACTGGATTCGGGTCAGCACCCGTACCAGGCTGTCCCCTACAATCAGGTGAACTGCACCCTCCGGTATTGAAGGCTGTGTAGTATTCAACCCAAGACGCGTCATGGAAACAATCCCTTCTCGCCCGCTGCGCCGCGTTCCAATCCATGCGGTTGTGCCTGTGGTATCTGCCATCCGTGTTTTTCTTATAGCTTGCGATCACCACGCTCCTGACCGGTTGCTCCCTCCAAATCGGGGGTACCTCCACTCTAGCTGGACTTTCACGATTTCTTAGCTGTAGCAACTCATGTAATTCCTTAAGACACGACGAGCTCCCGACTGCTGCTCGGGGTTGAGCTCGGGGTATATCCCGGCAGTGCCATGTCCTTCAATGGGAGTATCGGTTGCGTCTCCAAACCGCGCAGGGAGGACGCTGATTCGGTTGGTATCCATACTTCCAGTGCCTCGTTTATGTGTTCTTGAGCCGCAGGTCTAAGTTGAATCGTCCCTTCGACCTGGGAGCCTCATCCACCTCCATACGTGACTCCGGCCTTGAGCCTGCAACAGCTCGCTCCGTCGTCCTGGTTTCCTTTTCCTTTTTCCTGTCGAGCTCTTGTTGTCACCGCTGGATCCTTTCAAGTTCCGACTTCAACTGCTCGCAAATCGCCGCGTTCTCTCGCACCCTCTGTTCTTGCTGGTATTCTGCTCTCAACATATCAAGATCACGCCGCGCCTGGTCCCTCTCAAGGATCGCCTGGTCCCTCTCCAGATTCGCTTGATTTCTCTCGAGCTTCGCGCTATCCCGGTCAAGATTTGCTTTATTCTTCTCCCTCTGCGCCCTCTCAAGTTCCATCTTCAAGTTGCTGAGGTCAGGATACGTCTCCTCCGTTTGCTGGGCTCCCTTCGTAGAAGGTGGCTTGCTCGCGGACTGGCTAGCCGATCTTGCTGATGGTCTGACCGGCAATGGGAATTCTTCCGCGCCGTACTCAGTGTTGTTGCTTAAGCCAGGATTCCTCGCCAAGTCGAATCCTCTCACCCCTCCATCCACGTTCCAGGATAGCCACCTGGTCTGTTCCTGACCAGGTGGCTATCCTGGAACCAACTTGAGAATTACTTAATCAACTTGAGAATTACCAAACCAAATTGAGTACTTGAGAAATATCTCTTCCGAATGTTGCTGATCGTGAACTTTGTTCAAGACGTTCTATTGTCTATCCAATGAGTGTGTTTGGGTCGTCAACTCGATTTAACAAACAAATCTGAAAGTAAAAACTACTTTTTAGCCTAATGTGATATATTCCTAACCTAAACCCCCCCATTATTGTAGTTAAAACCTTATTCCTCTATTTGTTTCACTAAAATAATTCAATTGGAAGTTTTTTAAGAGCATGCAGAATTATTTAATGTTTTAGTACCGTCACTCTTTTAAATTATAATTGTCATGCCAATTACGTTAAAATCCATCTACCTGCTCCGAGGTCCCCATGTACCCTTACTCGAGATCCCCATGTACCCCCAACTCAAGACCTCCGTTGTCCACCCGTGGCTCAGGCGATACTCAAGTAGTATTTCTTGTGTAGGTGTACCATTATCTCCGTTTCTACGAAGACCACGTGGCGGTGTCTTGTCAATTCATCAGGCCGTGTCTTGTCAATCAAGAAGTCATCCCAGTACCTATTGTAAATCATGCCTGTCCGTTTACGATTACCGCTCCTGGTTCCTGCCGTTATCGGCAAGTCTGTTTCCGTCCACTTTGGCACCTCGTCCTGCTCCGGATCGTTCCAGTCTTCTTCCACAAAGGATTTTGCCTCTGAGTCCGCTTCTATCTTTTCATTATCATCCAAACTCAAGTCCTCGTTGCCATCATTTTTCTCTCTGGTGCCCTTTTCGTTCACCTCGCAAGCTGTTTCCACCAATAGGTACTCGAGTCCCTCCATATACTGCGGTACGCATCAGTCTTTTGGGGATGAGACATGAGGTTTCCAGTTTTCATAATGTGCTGCGCGCCCCGTACTCAAACGGTAGAACCGTCCTTGTTGAAGTACTACCGTTATCATGAATGGTCTTCTCCATTTCTTAAGTAGTTTCTTTGTCCCTTTGGGAGTTATAACATTCTGGAAGACCCAGACGTATTGGCCCACTGCATATGTTTTCGCTTGCAGTATTTTCTCATCGTATTTCTTCCGCTGTCTCATTTGCGCTTGCGCTGTGTTCCTCCTGCAGAGCTCGTTTAGTTCCTGCTGTCTCTTAACCGCTTCTTTCACATAAGCTTGAGGCAATGTATTTTTCCCTTCGTATTCGGGGTAAAAGCATGTTAGAGGCACCGCACTTTCGCTGCCCGTCAACATCATGAAGGGACTGATTCCTGTTGTTGAGTGTTGCGTACTGTTGTATGCCCCTACCCTTTGCGGCAGATGTTTGTCCAAGTCTGTCATATATCTTGAGCAGTATACCCTCAGCATGTTTACCAATGTTCTATTCTGTCTCTCCACTAACCCGTTGGTTTGGGGATGATAGGTCGTGGAGTGCGCTTGAGCAATTTGTGACCTCTTCATCAATTATTTGTCAGGTCCACAACGAAGGCCTTGCAGTTGTCCGACTGAAATGTCATGGGACACCCATACCGTGATATCCAATGTGTTATCAGGTGGTCACACGTCTCTTCTACCGCTTCTGCCAATTTCGTGAAATGATCTATTATGACCAATATCTGGTTATATCCCGATTCTGTCATGCAGATATTCTGATGGTCTATCTGCACAACTTCGTTAAATTCCGAGCTTTCAACGGACTTGAGTGGGAACTTTATCTTCTTTGGGTCTTTCACTTGCAGGCATGCCAGGCATATATTCACCGATCTCTCACAGGCTTTCCTTAATCCTGGCCAGTCAAACCTATGAAGTATTCTTTTTTGCACCTCGTCTATCCCCTGGTGCCCCATTTGATCATGCGATCTGAAAAACAGTTCCGTCTGACACAACTGTGGCAGTATGATGAGGTTATGCTTGTGTAATATCTTCTCCTCATCTTTTCTCTTGCATGTCACCTTCCCATCAGCTGTGTGATAGAGTAGGTCTTTCTGTCTTTGTAAAACTGGCTTAAGATCTTGTAGCTGTCTTCTTCTAGGTCCCCCTTCTCTTTGGACCCCTTCCGGATCCATGTGGAGAGGTTACTTGTCATCTTGTCATTCTTTTGGGCCCGTAATAGATTCGACAGCCTATATCTTGCCTTGACGTGCTCTTTTAGTGCCATTATCTGACGATTCATTTCTCCAGGGTTGTGGATGTCGTCCTTCAGCTTTACGCATACTATCCTCCTTATGATCTTCCTGTCATCTTCTGGCACCAGATTTGTTCTGACATTTGAGTTGCACGATAGCTCCCTGAATAATTTCCTCCACACTGCAATTTTCTCAAGCTCTTCACCTCCTCGCACTTCCTGCTGATCCAAGTTGTACGTTCCTGAGGAAGGATCCGTCTGTAGATCCCTGTCGCGGTGTCTCATCTTCTCTTCCGCCAGTATCATGCATAGACTATCTTGGTCATCGCTGCTCTTCTCCGAATCTTCATCCCACTCTTCGCACTCCCCGGACAATTTTTCTTCTTCAGCATCTTCTTCCACTGTGGGCCACTCCCCGGACTCTTGGTCTAGTCCAAGGTGTTCAGCCTCCTCCTTAAATGCCACTTTCTTCTTCCTAACCCGAGTCCGCTCAAGTATGTCATCACGGATTTTATCAACCAATGACTGCACGACATCTTTCCCGTCCGATTTTCCGTTTAAGGAGTCCTCGACACTACCAGTTTCATTCCTTCTCAAAATCGTGAATTCCGGTTCCTCCTTACCCTTTCCTCTGATCTGGATTTATCGTCTGCCAGTTTCTCAGTAATCTCATCAAGTCTTCATCTATCTGTGCATCTCCCGTTTCTACCTGGTTGAGGTCATAGCCTTTTGCCTTGAGCGTCTCCCTCACGATTTTTGACTTGAGCAGTATCCCTATCGGTATCCCCGGGTCTTCTTCAAAATTGTTTTCCCTGGAGGCTCCTTTGGTAGTTCGGGGTGATCTTCTATCGGTTTGCCTGACTTGTCGAGCCATCTCGTGAGTGGAAGACTATCATACGTTTCCTTAACCATGAAGGAGAAGCCATTTTTGATTTCTGGCCTATCCGCCTCCCTCTGTTCCTGTCTCTCGTAGAACTCTGTCTTCTTACTCAAGCTATCGGCATTTTGATGTTTGTCTCTTGTTCTATGCCCAAATATCACGTCGTATCCATCGAGGCGAACTATCCACTCCCAAGGTAGCTCTGGTACATTGAGTACGTCGTCAGCCAGCTGAGTGCCCTGTTGTTGACTCGCAGCTTGAATGGCTCACTTCCTAGGTATGCTCTATATTTCTCGACAAAGGTAACCACCGCGAACATCTCTGCTTTCGGCGCCCCGTACTTCATTTCCGTATCACTCAAGACTCTACTCCCGTACGCTATCGGTCTCAAGACTGTCTTCCCGTTTCATTGCTGTTCTTGATGGAGAATGCCAGAAATCGCGACTACCGACGCATCCGTGTCCAGCACGTACATCCCTTTTTCCGTTGGCATCCCAGCACCCGTGCCTCGCACAACTCTTTCTTTATTCTCTGGAATGACTCTTCCGCCGCGTTGTTCCACGTGAACTTCTTGCCTTTGTACCTCATTAGTTGTTTCATCGGGTGTACCTTGTCCGCGTAGCCCTTGATGAACTCCCTGTAATAGTTCGCGAAACCCAGAAAGCTCATCAATTGATGTTCCGTCTTTGGCGATTTCCAAGTCAGAACCGCTTCCACTGCATCTGGGTCTGATCTGATGCCATGCCTATCCACCATCCTCCCCAAGTATTTGATTGAGTCTTTGAGTAACTCGCACTTTGACTGTTTGCACTTTAGTCCTGACCTTTTCATGCATGGAAACACATCGTCTTCCATTGTAGGCCTCGCTATCACCACGTCTTCCACGTAGCACATTACCAAATTGCCGTATTTCTTTGTCACACCTATCAATGCTGGTGCCATCAATCGTTGAAATGTGGCCGTGGAATTGCATAGACCAAATGGCATGCGTTTTCATTGAAACAGCCCTAGCTCGCAGGCGAACCCTGTTTTGTCCCTGTCCTGCTTCCTCAGTGGGACTTGCCAAAATGCCGAACCTAATCAAGAGTCGTAAAAAACTTTGCATCACCTAACTTCGAGATACTCTCATCAATTCTAGGTTTGGGATAGGCATCCTTCACCGTGACGGAGTTCAGATACCGAAAGTCGCACCATAACCTCAATTTGTTGCCTTTCTTTTTGGCCATCACTACTCCACACTCCCACGGTGATTTGGATGGTTCTCTCATATCATACTCTAGTAATGTCTCTATTTCTTTCCTACATGCATCCGATTTGTGTGGGGTCATGCGCCTCGCCCCCTCCCTGTGCGGCACCGCAGACTCTTCAAGCTCTATTTCAAGTTCAACGAAATTACAGCATCCAATGTCTGCCTTATGTCTGGAAAAAAACGTCCGTGTTCCGCTCTAGTACGTCCTTGATGGCTTCGAGCTGTTCATCCGTTACCTTAACCCTTAAGTGTTCTATTTCAGTCAAAAACTGGTTTATCCATTTCCATTTCCTCTAGTTTTGGTCTCTCTGGGAAGTTTGAACAGCTCGAGAGTCCATCATCTCTATCTGATTTAAGTGATTTTACAAGACCTGATGAATCTTTTATTTTCTTTAATCGTCTCAAGATACAAATCTTGTCCCTATGATTGGGACATTCAAGTACTTAGTTTTCTTTTGCATTTTCAGTCATTTCATAACGAGTTTTCACAGGTAAAGCATATCCCAGCTTCCTCCCCCTCCGGATTGTTATTGGTATGTCAAGAGTATTCAACAAGACGCTGTTGCAGAGCCCGCTCTTGGTTATCGAGAAGGATATTCCTAAAACAGCAGCACTTTGACTGTTTGGATTTGGGACTATGCATACTTGCTTGTTTTCACTTAATTCATTAAATTTTTCATCCGTAGGCCTACAATTGCCGCTTTTTTCACTTTCAGCCTTACCCTCCTACTCATGAATACCGGCGCTTTATTCTCAATTGCCATTATCAAATTTACCGGTTTAATCACGTACTTCCTGTCCGGGTTCCGAATCCTGAACATGGCATTGTTTAGATCAATTGTTACGTCGAAATTGCTGATGAAGTCTCTGCCTAAAATGAACTGGTCAGACTCGTCTAGGTTCTCCACCACAAGAAAGCTCATCCACAGGTTGCGTTCCCCTAGGTTGAGGGCTATTATTGGTGTCCTGTCTAGTACCCGCAGCGCCCCTTTGTTTGCAGCTGACAGCCGTATTCTTGAGTTTATCAAGTCATCTTTGTCGAAACCCATTCGCTCCCAAGTCTCGATTGGTATAACACTCAAGACTGCTCCCGTATCAAGTAACCCTCGTAACTGAGTCTTCTTGCCACTTATGTCGAGCACGTGTGCGATACGTCTGCCTCCGTCCCGATGTGCATAGTATCCTCTTCTAACATTGCGCAGTGTCCAATCGATCTTACTTTCAATTCTTCTTTGCCCACGTAGATCTGTCCGGCTAGGTCTTCATCACCTGTTATCATGGTTTTCGTGTACATGTTCATCCCATCTATATTTAACATCACCTCATGCGGACCATAAGCTTCTGTGTATCTATTCTCCACACGGACTGACTTGCTGCCACCTCTTGTGAGTAGCGCCCTCAAGGCTCTAGAAGTCGTCTGTGGACTTATTGCACTCCAGTAATCTGCGTACACATCAATCATTGTCTGGTCGCTGGGTTCACTCAAGTTCCTCGTTACTTCGTGGCCGCCCACAGTGATTATCGACATTATCCTGGCTCCGATCTTTGTTATGCCGAATGGCTTTCCCGTCACCATTTTCAGAGTGTTGCAATTACCACTCTTTGTCGCTCCCACTACGGCTTCTGGCACTGGCACTGACCAACTTAACGGCTCGTTTAACTTCTGCTTTTTGATCTCTTGTTTCAATCGTTGCTCTATCTCCTTCGTCGCTAGGTCCTGTTTCACCTTGTTAATAGCCTCCGCAGCTGCTCTCTCAAAATTTATCTCTGGAGACTTCCTGGTCATGGTCTCCATGGCACTGTTGACCTGCGTTACAGCTTTCACCGTCTTCGTCGGTAGTTCTGCATTCGGTGCCTCTGAGTTTCTTGTTTCAAACTCGGCTTGTCTGTTCCTTGGGTTCTGCACCGCCGCTAACGCTAACTTGTGTTTCGGATGACTTTGATTTTTTACTGCTTCCCAAAATAATGGAAAGTCCATCCTAAAGTGGCGCTCTTGATTGCAAAAGAAGCACCTCGCACCTATCTTGATGATTGGGCCGCTGTAGAACTCGTGTTGTTCCATCTGGCTCATATCTTCCTCATCCGGAGCATACCCCAAACTCTTTGTGCCTTGTTTATACGTCGTGCATTCCGCCACTTGATGATCCTAGAACCCTTTTTTCTGCTATTGGTAGTCCACTACGCCTCATATTTTTTACTTACATTTTTTTAAATCTACAATACTAATTTTCACAATTTTTCTATTCTACGGATAAAATTTCTGAAAGTGTTCCTAATTCTCTTAAGTAAAATAAATCTCCAATTCGTGATCTTCATAAAATGGATCTTTCGCGTTTTAATCGTCCGGACCGGTCCCTTTGCTTTTAATTGAGCGTTGAGCGCTGTTCCACGACCTTCTATAGTACCTTCACAGAATTTTTTGGTACCGTCCCAAGACTTGCTGATATTGTTCCAAGACTTATATGTGCTGTCCCAAGACTCTTAGGTACTGTCCCAAGACCTCTCTCAACTGTCCCAAGACTGCCTGTTCCAAGACCGCACTGTCCCAAGACTGCCTGTCCCAAGACTGCCTGTCCCAAGACTGCCTGTCCCAAGACTGCCTGTACCAAGATTACTGTCCCAAAACTGCCTGTCCCAAGACTGCCTGTCCCAAGACTGCCTGTCCCAAGACTGCCTGTCCCAAGACTGCCTGTCCCGAGACTGCCTGTCCCAAGACCACTGTCCCAAGACTGCCTGTCCCAAGACTGCCTGTCCCAAGACCACTGTCCCAAGACTGCCTGTCCCAAGACCTCCTGTCCCAAGGCTGCCTGTCCCAAGACTGCATGTCCGAAGACTGTCTGTCCCAAGACTGCCTTGAATCACTGTACCTTGTACCACCACTTGAGTTCTAGTAAAAATTTTCCCAAAAAACCCAACCTTACTGGCCAAAAGTTAGAATTACCAGCTCCCTTGTATTTATTTCTTTTAATATTTTGATGCAAGTTGAAACCCAACTTGTTCGAGATGTCTTGTGATCACCTGTTTGTCCGAAACCGATTAAAAATTTTTTACCAAAAGCGTCAAAATTTAAACAGAGAAAAAACAATTAATGATAAAAACAGAGAAATAAAACCACCTAAAATTCAAAAGTGACTTGTGTCAACCCTTTATCTGAACAACAACAACAAAAAAAATGTCTGGTACCTGATTGCCACGCGTTCTCCTCCCCCCTGCTAGCGATCTTATGGGGTATCACGAAAACTGTCTATGTCCGTTCCCCCCTCCCGATCCGACCAGGGTACCTACCTTAATTCGATGTTAAATTTGATATCCGCTTCTTATAATCAACGCGTGTAAGAATCTAATGTAACTAAATCGACGATGCCGATCAATTAGTTACTCTAATGTGTCCCCCTTTTTACACTTTACAACCATCAACCTCTAACCTCCCCCCTCTTTACCACCCCTCTCAAGCCGAAAATTACCTTAAACGCCGGCTGCTAAACCTCTCGCGAGAAAACCGTAGAACCTGTTTCCAGGCCTGCTTGAGTAAAAACGTTCCTGAAAACAGTGGGGTTCCACTTATCCAGTTTTACACTTATCTCCTATAATGTAGTGTGGATTTTAACGATACCCGTTTGAACAACTTGAGAACACCCCCGTCCTCTCTTGTTGCTCTGATTCCGTGCTGGTTGTTTCCTTGACTTGTCCTGCAACTGATCACCAGCACCACTTTCCCACTTGGGTGGTCACCTGTTCCAGTCAAGTCTCCTAATGGTCCAGCTAAGTCCCTATGAACCACTTTCCCACTCGAATGGTCACCTGTTCCAGTCAAGTCTCTTAATGGTCCAGCTAAGTCCCCGTGAACCACTTTCCCACTCGACTGGTCACCTGTTCCAGTCACGTCTACTAATGGTCCAGCTAAGTTGCAAGCTATCTGAAAACCCTTCACAACGCCCCACACTCGGGCACCTTTTCAGATTGCTGAAATGATCGAAACGATCGGTCTTACAAAAACAGGTATGGGTATACTATTGAATTAATATCAAGGTTTGATCCAACTAATTTGGTGTCAAAGACACTGTCATTTTTTGTTTTATAGTTTTTGTTCCTTTTTCTGTTCTTTTTCGGTTTTTGTTTCGCTTTTTGTCTTTTGCTCGTTTCTTCGTCACCCTAGTTACCCCCTTTACTCGGTTAGCTAAGCCTCGTTCGGAGAGGGTACCAGGAAGTTTTCTCGAGTTTTCTTAAAAAGCTATCACGGTGCAACCGGAAGGTTTACACGTTCCCACTGAACCGTACCACCGGTACTCTAGAATGGGCATGTAGCCCGGAGCTGCGTCAAGTGGGTTCGACTCCGTAGTCATGATGTCGTAAAAACACCCAGGCGCGCCATAAAAACACTCTGTAACAGTCGCCTACTTCGGTCACATATGAGGCTTAAGAAGAATAGGCCCCATAACCATTGGCTCAAGAGTCAGGGACACTATCTCTCGTGTTTTTCTACCTCAAAATGGTCGGAGCCAATTCGGTTCGCTTGCGACATGAGACTAAAAACCCGTTACAGCTAAAAGGCCACTACCAAAATACCCCCCCCCCCCACTCTAGAAAATAAGAACGTCCCCATACTTAGGTCTCAAAATACCCAAAATACACGAACGCCGTTAAA